ACGGAAAGGGTCCACACCGTGAGCCACAGGGAGATGCATGCATTCAGTTGAGAATTATGTCCGTCGCTAATTTCCCTGGGGACTTGCAGAGATTATGGGAATTTCAACAACACACGTTCGATGGTTCAGAAGAAGAGTACATGATGACGAAACTGCGGAAGCTCTTGGCGACCGTAGCAGATATCTGTAGTTGCGGGGATTAATAAAGACAGAAAACCGATTTCGCTGTGGTTTCATCTAGTCAACACCGTTTCAAACATCCCGCAACGGTGCGAACGTTCTTCATTCCCGGAACATTGTTGGACAGCATGTTTGGATTCTTTTTTTGTTCAGACAGGGGTCTCGTGCAGTACGGCGTAGCCGGAACCTATGCAGAGTGAGTAAAACAAAACCAAGTCGGTCCAGTGATGGAGCTTGCTAATATTCCGCTTGCATAATCAATGAGTTGCCTTTGCTCACGTTCCGATAATAATGATTGCGGCATTCCGACAGGCATGAACTGAGCACTGTGACCAGCATAGATCACGGCAACTCAATCAACGAACTGAGCCGGCATGCAGCTGAGTTGAATCAGTATAATTGTGTGCTGCTGAGCATCATGTCATGCATGTAGCGAAAGATATAACAATTCCGGAATCCTTTCTCACCTTGTCAACGCAGGTCAAGCCTCTCATCCTCCAGCAGATCAAACTGGCAAACTCTTTCTCCGATTCGTCAATGCTCTCCTGACGGTAACCTCGAAGTGACCGATCATCTACTCGTGCTGGTTTTTAAGTCTTGGTGCCGGATAGTGAGGGTTGCGAACATGACGTTATGTTTCACAATGCTGAGGAGTTCGTCTCATATCCCAGAGCACCCTTCAAGTTTGTAATTTGATAGCCATGCGCCCTCCGTCCTCCGGTCGGTTTTGCCGTCCAGGCACTGTACCCTGTGCTTGCGTTCCATCCAGTCCAGTCCACCTATCGCACCATCATCTCGAGAATACACCTGCCGCTCCCTTCGGTCACCTCCCACACCCTCCTCCCAACCATCCCGAGGCGCTGGGCAACTTGCTCGAACTCGGCCACGCTCCCTCCAACACCAAAGTAGACGTCCTTGGCGGCTAGGAGGCACACACTCGGTTCGTCTAGTGTCTCCTGGCCGGATTTCGTCACTCGACTTCCAGAACTGGCTGGCTGTTCGAGGGCCCGTCGAATACACCGAGCAAGCGAAGGTACTGCTTCGGGCCGGTAGATAGTCTCGCTTGTCAAGACCAACCCCACCCTACCCCCTACATCCAGCATGTCCCAGTCGCCAGCCCAAAATCGCAGCGAGAGCTTCAGCTTGGTGAGCGAGGCTCGAAAAGAGGACAAGAGGTCCGAGGAGAGCCGGAGGGAAATCGGTTGGCCAGGTGAGACCGGAGGATGGGGGAAACGATACATGGCAGCGGAGGGTGAATATAGATCTAAATCATGCATCAGAACTGTTTGAGAGAAGTGTATGGAAAGATGGGACGGTAGTGGAGGGTAACGTACACCATGTTAAGAGAATGTTCGGGAACGTCATCTGCCTCGCGCTGTGAGTTGGCAGTGTGACGGCAAGTAAGAAGAAAAACTCACGAGCTCAAGAACTGGTAGATTATAGTCTTGCAGGAATACTGCCCTCTCGTGCGCGTCCTCCTTGCCCTCCGACTGAAAGATCTTCGCCAGAAGGAAGAGAGTGGGGAGTGCTGTCCCGGACCCGATCTATCTCATCCGCACCAGTCAGCCTTGGACACCGCAGTGAGAACGAGGCAACGCACTTCAAGGATGCTCCCTTGGCTCAAAGCAGCAGTCCGTCTCTCGTTGTCCGATAGGTAGTTTACCAGGTCAACTGCTCCTTCCCACGTCTTCATCCCACCCTCGTACAGACCCGGGCGCACGTCGCTCCGTTCGTTAAATACCTCTTCAAACTTGCGTTCGTCCACCCCACTGATGTCGCGCCGATGCTCATCCTCGGTATCATGAAGAATGTCGGAGGTTGAAGACTGTGAGAAAGCCGAGGCGAGAATGGACAGTCTTGCGTCGTGGAAGTCCCTGCGTGGAAGGGGAAGAGGCAGGGACGAGAGGACAGTGTAGCTGAGCTCGACCGGCAGGACGCGAATCTAGATGACTAGGCTAAGCACTAGATGTGTTAAGGTGATGGAACGAAGCCTGCGCACCAAGTCCTCAAATGCGATCTCACGAGAAGGGGCCAGGACAGTCCCAGTATGGGAGAATGACGGGTTGGGCGGACATGGATAATAAAGAATGGAAG